ATAACCACTTGGCTACACTAGCACGAGCGCGTTTTGGGTCACAGGGCAAATATGAATTTTCAAAGAAGGCCAGGCCTTTTTGCAATATCATATTCTTTGGTGGGATTGTCGATGAAGAAAACGTATATTTGCTATACTATACTTTATTTTTCGCATTACTGGTAGTCTCGAAATAATACTTAATGTGAAAATAAATATATTTAATATAGCACTTAATCGAACTTATTTCTCGAGTAGATCTTTTAGTAAATTTGTGAGCCTTCAATTCAGACAGGAGTATGATAAAATTAATATTATTTACAGGCCCAATTAATGCACATGCCTTGATATAAAAATTTAGTTCAAATAAATTAAATTGAGTGAATTAGGAGTACATTGTAGTGAAACGCTTTTTTGAGTAAACTGCAAGATTTGAGTAGAGTTTCGAGACTACCAGTAAATCAGTAATATGATATGTATTCACCCTATTTCATTTAAGGTGATGAAGGACTGGTAGTAGAATTTACCCACAATCATATGAGTAGAGCTGACGTTTTCACTGAATTTCACATTGCCTAGCTTTCCCAAAAGTTGTTCTCATCCAGTGTGGACTGCAGTTTCGACCACGTATGTCAGCTGTACTCATATTAATGTGGGTAAATTCTAATACCAGTCCTTCATCACTTTGAACCAATTAGGGTGAATACATCTTATATTGCAAGATTTTAGTTTTATAAGATGTTTATTGTATAATAGAATGCATAATCAGGCCAATTTGCTAATTTTAAATTTCTAATTTGAATGGGCTAGATTTTATATTACGAGCCCCGAGTCTCCTGATTTGATCACAAACACATTTTTAATGATAATGTTGCCATAACTTATCCACAGAGCCTTCACGAGCGTTAGTTAGTGGATCCGATCATGTGCGCTTTGAAGGGAGCGGAAATATCTAACAACTTATAAAGCCAAACTAGTTCTCAGCCCGTTCTGTCATATGGCAAAAAAATATATTATTTTCTGCCTACTGACGCTCAGTGCCTCGTGGTAAAATATGTGTGAATTCATGCTAAATTGTTCCATACTGATATGACTGGGCTTCACAATACTGCTAAATTTCATTTACTCTTGCCTCCCAAAAGGAATTATCGCTCAGTATGGATTAAAGTTTCAACCTTACCTAGGACTCATTAACTTGTGACTTTATCTCGTATTCATGGATTACAAATAGTCTCTAAATCTACTTAATTACTATAATTATTAAACGTGTAAAATTATCCTGGACTCTAAGCAAGATTTTTGTGAGTGAGCTGATTGATCCTTAGAGGATCCAAAGTAACTTATTAACTTTAGTTGGTTTTACGAGGATGTGTTTTATCGGCATGATATAACAAGCATTGTATGGGCTCTTTCGGTCCTAGCGGAAGACAAGCACCTTCTAAGTCGAAATAGCTAATCTGAATTGACTCAATACTGTCATTCTTTGCTGTTGATTAGCCTATTTAGATACAGTAACATCCGCTTGGTACCCATTGCTAGCTTTTGCAACCGATTTGAAGACTTTTCAATTATTCCTCAAAAAAATTTGGGGTTTCGCTATAATTGCTTAGTCATTTGACCAATGAAGCTAACTAAAATAAAAGTTTTGATATTAGCCACCAAACCGTATGAAAGCCTCCAAGTTGTCCTCTTAAGTTACCAAAAATACCGTTACTAGGGGCCATTGCATGGAAAACAGCATTATTTTTTTTTAAAAACTACGTTTATCAATATCAGTTACATCTGGATTTTTCCTTG